TATATATATATATATATATATATAATATATATTATATATGTATATATATATATATTATATATATTATTATATATATTATTATATATTATATATATATTAATTATATATTATATATATATATATATATATATATATATATATATATATATATATATATATATATATATATATATACACGAGATAGCGTAAATACTTATTAGCAAATACTTTGAGAATTAGTTCAACATTCAAAGAATTAAATATAAATACTTAACTTAACAAACGCTCACTGAATATTTTGAAACATCTGTAAAAGTACTTATCTTTTAAATGTAAATATCTTGTAAATGTCTTTGCCTGTGCACTCGTGACCGCAAAAAAGGCTTATAAGTTGGTATTAAAAAATAATGGCTATCTTGTCTTATTTCAGCAAGATTCTCCGATTAATTTCTATATGGCATGTTCGGGTGATCACATTCACGCCTCTCTCTCTCTCTCTCTCTCTCTCTCTCCTCTCTCCTCTCTCTCTCTCTCTCTCTCTGGAAGGAGGTTCGAGCCTTAAGCAATGCATTTATATTTCTTCCTCGAAATTTACTGAGAAAAAGCAATGCATTGTTGAACGATCATTATTACACTGAACGATCATTATTACACTGAACGATCATTATAGCAACGAACAGTAATTATAGCAGTGAATGATAAGTGAAGCAGTGAATCATAAGTGTTGCAGTGAATGATAAGTGTAGCAGTGAATGATAAGAGTAGTAGCAGTGACTGATATGAGTAGTACCAGTGGATGATAAGTGTAATAGCAGTGAACGGTAAGTGTAGCAGTGCACGATAATTTCAGCAGTCAGTTCTCAGTGAACTGATAGCCAGGGCGTTCACAGCAGCGTAAATTATTAAGATTACCTTTACCAACTCACAAAATTGGTCAGGCACATGATAAATGTGTGTTTGCTGGCACCCAGTCACAGCTGGGTAAGCACACCCAAACACACAATTACAGTCGGTGAAATTGAAGACATTACTGAATACGAGGACCTGGGGAGCCATAATTACGATATACAGGATACTTTTTATGTATTTGATAGCGAGGGGTAGGAAATACTGAGGCGTGAGGTTAAGAAGGAAATAAAACTTAGGGTTGTCTAGGAATTTTTCTTCAGCATTAGAGTGGTCAGAAAGTGGAATGACCTGGTTGATGAAATTGTGGAGTTAGACCCCATACACAGCGTTAGAAGTAGGTACGATAGGGCATACGTACCTATTCCGGTACCGTGGATTTTGTAAGTGGGGATTAGAGGTGAGACTCGACCCTCGTCATCACACCAGGTCTTCCAGTCACAGTACGTCTTTCAGTCACACCAGGTCTTCCAGTCACACCAGGTCTTGCAGTCACACCAGGTCTTGCAGTCACACCAGGTCTTTCAGTCACACCAGGTCTTTCAGTCACACCAGGTCTTCCAGTCACAGTACGTCTTCCAGTCACACCAGGTCTTCCAGTCACACCAGGTCTTGCAGTCACACCAGGTCTTGCAGTCACACCAGGTCTTGCAGTCACACCAGGTCTTGCAGTCACACCAGGTCTTGCAGTCACACCAGGTCTTGCAGTCACACCAGGTCTTGCAGTCACACCAGGTCTTGCAGTCACACCAGGTCTTGCAGTCACACCAGGTCTTGCAGTCACACCAGGTCTTGCAGTCACACCAGGTCTTGCAGTCACACCAGGTCTTTCAGTCACACCAGGTCTTTCAGTCACACCAGGTCTTCCAGTCACACCAGGACTTCCAGTCACACCAGGTCTTCCAGTCACACCAGGTCTTCCAGTCACACCAGGTCTTCCAGTCACACTAGGTCTTTCAGTCACACTAGGCAGTGACATACTCCTGCAGGTCTTACAACCACACCAGACAGTGACATACTCTTACAGGTCTTACAACCACACCAGACAGTGACATACTCTTACGGGTCTTACAACCACAATAGGCAGTGACATGCCCTAACAGGTCTTTCAACCACACAAGGCGGTGACATACTCTAACAGGTCTACCAACCACACCAGGCAGTGGCATACTCTTACAGGTCTTCCAACCACACCAAACAGTGACATACTCTTACAGGTCTTACAATCACACCAGACAGTGACATACTCTTACAGGTCTTACAACCACACCAGACAGTGAAATACTCTTAGGTCTTCCAACCACACCAGCTCTCCATGAGGACAACAAACACTACCACTGTACTCAGCACAGTGGAGAATTCTGCAGCAATAATGCTTGAGAATGTGTCAGGGGTAAAGCAAAGTCAGTCTCTATGAGGTTGCGTTTAATAGCGAGAACGTCCACTTTATTGTCCTTCAGCTCTCCCTGGGCACTTCCCAGGACCCTCAGACGATAGGCACTGATGTCACTGATTACTTGTATTACTTGTGTAGCATATGTAAATATTCCCAGCTTTGTTATACACAGGCTCCCTGTCTAGCTAGGCTCACTAGCTAGCTGTGGCGTCACGAACCCCGCTCATGTGAAAAGTTGGCTACAGGCCTCCTCCTCGCTTCTACTTTAGGCATTGACTCGACAGGTAGACCAGGGCTTTTCCTCACAAGAATCTCTCGATATAAGTTGCCAACCGACTTAGTGTGTGTTACCTCAACGGTCCAATATCTCCAGAACACCCACCTGACATGACCCTTCACTGCGTAGTGCTAATCCACGGTAAATCATAGAGAATTTATGGTGATAACGATATAATGGAGAAGCGCCATGACAGTCTTTTAAAAGCACAAAGACGAAACAATGGAACTGAAAGCAGCGCAGATAGATCCATGATGATATGCTTGGCAGATGGTGAAAAGGATATGCTTGGCAGATGGTGAAAAGGTAGTGTGGGATTACATATGTGCGCTTGTTATAGACGTCGTATATCTCCAACGAAACGTATGGGAAGATCTCCAACGAAACGTATGGAAAGATCTCCAACGAAACGTATGGGAAGATCTCCAACAAAACGTATGGGAAGATCTCCAACAAAACGTATGGGAAGATCTCCAACAAAACGTATGGGAAGATCTCCAATAAAACGTATGGGAAGATCTCCAACAAAACGTATGGGAAGATCTCCAACAAAACGTATGGGAAGATCTCCAACAAAACGTATGGGAAGATCTCCAACAAAACGTATGGGAAGATCTCCAATAAAACGTATGGGAAGATCTCCAACAAAACGTATGGGAAGATCTCCAACAAAACGTATGGGAAGATCTCCAGCAAAACGTATGGGAAGATCTCCAAAAAAAAACGCATGAGAAGGCTACGCTGCTTAGTTCCCGAGAATATAGGATCTTAGCATATCCTACCGCATCGCCCCTATTTTTTGTTTATCCTCGGCTCGTGGGGAAAATATGCACCCAAGTTCCTGAGGAAGTAAGCTATTACACTCATTAGGAAAAGCGAGGATCCCACAGCAACTAGATTCTCGTTTCAACACCTCAGAGTTGCGATCCAACAACGCTATGATGCCCTGCCTATGTGATACTACTCAGCTTACTGAGAAGTACTTAAATGTCCTATCTCTGAATGTAATGTAATATTCGTAACATCAGAAAGCGAACAGTACTGCAACGGAACAAAATAATCAGTCACTATGTAAAGAAACTGCTGAATTACTGAATAATACCAGAAATATATATATATATATATATAAAGGGGTAATGCCTGCTGCATTTTGGGCACACGCCCCAGCTCTGAGGAGCTGGATGAGATTTTCGCCTTATAATCGGTGATACACACGTAACAACATGTACCGTATATGCCACCTTTATATTAACAATGTATCTCTTAAATCTTCTGTGCCATATTATGTAATAAAATATTCCTATTGGTAAAAAAAAAATAGTTTAAAAGATGGGGTGGTAGGGGAAGTGGAATATTCAAACGGCTTCAGGAAGAAATCCAAATATTCCTCCTTGAAGCCTTTTTATGCACTTCTCCGAGGCTATGGGTCCCACAATTTACACCAGAGGTGGACCCCATATTATATATATATATTATATATATATATATATTATATATATATATATATATATATATATATATATATATATATATATATATATATATATATATATTATAAATTCGCATGTAATGTCAACTACAGGAAATAAAAACTGGCATTGCTGTGTTGCTTGTATTAAATTCTCTTGTATCACTGTAACCATATGCGTTTTTCAGCTTATGATTCTTTAATTAAATGGTCGAATAAATGTAATTGTTGGGTAAACGTTTTTAAAAAATATAATTTGAGTTGTTAACTGTGATATCAGTTCTCATTTTTAGCTTTTATTAGTTTCTCTTTTCGTTCATTTGCATAACTGCATATTTTGAAATAATTATCGAGGGTTCCGATAATTTCCCCTGTGCCTGTTTAATAATTTGTTTAATAATTTGTTGTAAATGCTGTTTAATAATTCTGGATTTTTCATTTTTTTCTTATTAGCAAAATTTTTTTTTTTTTCCTGGAATGTAAGTCTCTTTAGTCATTTTCTTACTAGTAAAATACGAATTTTTATTCCTGAAATGAATGTTTAATTAATCACATTTCTTACTAGCAAAATACGAGTTTTTTCCCTGAAATAAATGTCTAATTAATCACATTTCTTACTAGCAAAATACGAGTTTTTTCCCTGAAATAAATGTCTAATTAATCACATTTCTTACTAGCAAAATACTATTTTTTTCCCTGAAATGAATGTCTAATCATTTTTCTTACTAGCAAAATACGAGTTTTTCCCTGAAATAAATGTCTAATTAATCATTTTTCTTACTAGCAAAATACGGTTTTTTTTTCCTGACGCGAAACCCTCATTAAGTCCATTTTCTTACTAGGAAAATTCTAAATATTTTTCCTGAAATAAATATAAATTTTCTTACTACCAAAACCCGAGTTTCTCGTTTTTTTTTTCCACCGAGAAGGTAGACTCGCTAAACTAAAACTTGCTTTGCCTTATCTCCACTTACCTTAGTTAGTGGAGTTATCCATTTTCATAGCTAATCCATTTTTGTGGTGAGTTTTTTTTTTTTACACTTTTGTTTACCAAAAAACTTTTATCCTCTTCTAAAAGGACACAAAAATCTAATGACGTGAACACGATATAAAACACTTTTCACGAAAAAGAATATATATTTAAATTTTGCCCCAAACTTTCTCTAAGAAAAAAGGATGAGCAAAAATTATATATTGTGTATATATATATATATTTAAATTCTGTATATTTTTAATATATATAATTTCCTAAATTCACTATAGCAGTACCTTATTTACAACACATCGAGCACTTGGAGGAGATTTTGGTAGGGGATTGGTACAATCTAGGATTCCAACAACACAATCTGTGACTGAGCTTGGGAGGGAGCACGATATGTACATTTTCCGGAAGTATCTTTGAACGTTGCCACTCTAGTAGCTTCGGTAAGGTAGGGAAGGGAGGAGAGAGAGAATTATATAGTGATATATAATATATATAACGCCTCTGATTACTCTTTGGCAATACAGCCTATTACCGCACCGACCTGGCGAATCGGGTAGGGGATGGTACTCTAGGATCCTACTTCCTCCTCCTGTGACTGAGCTTGAACTCTCCAGTGCTCTCATCTTTCTCCTCTCTCTCTTTTTTTTTTTGTTAACCTTCTTGCCGATTAGGTTTTGCTTGGGTTTTTGGTGGGATGGTTTGGAGAGTGCTGCTTGAGGTAAGAGAAAACTAGTTATACCCCTGTACTGCTTAGCAAATGTCCTACTTTTCGGCCCACCCCTAATCAACTGCAGAGCAGAACCCTCTAATTCCTTTTTCTGTCTCCTCTCTAAATCTCTCCCCTTTCTCTCTCTTCTCTCTCTCTCTCTCTCTCTCTTTGTCTTACCTCTTGCAATGCGTTTTTGCCTCATATGTGTTTATGTTCGATGTTAGTTTTGCTGCTTGAGCTAATAATCTAGTTCATTCCCCACAGTAATATTATGACCCCAAACCATCTTGTTCATATCACCATGAAAGCATCCCCCCACCACTAATCTCATTTTTCACCCCTCTCTCTCTATTCTCATGTTCTCTCTCCTCTCCACTAATCTCTCTCTCCTCTCTCACCATCTTCATGTTCAAACCCCCCACCCTAATCTCATGTTCACCCCTCACCACTAATCTCATGTTCATCCCTCACCACTAATCTCATGTTCACCCCTCACCACTAATCTCATGTTCACCCCTCACCACTAATCTCATGTTCACTCCTCACCACTAATCTCATGCTTCTTCATCTATAGTCTCACATCCTATCTCACCTCCAATTTAACATTCCTTTTCATCCCTAATCTCACGTCCCCTCACTCCTAATCTCACATTTTCGTCTTCACTAATTTCACATTTTAATTTCTAATCACAAGTCTCTCTCACTACTAATCTCACAATCCCTGCATATAACCTAACACCCTATTCCACCAATCTCACCCCTTTAACTACTAATCTCACATCCGCTTTCCACTAATCTCACACTTTTTATCACTAAGCTCAAATCCCCTTACCTCTAGTCTCACAATCCCTTACTACTAATGTTACCCCCTTGCCACTAATTACACACGTTTTACCACTAATCTCACGACCTCTTTCTCAAATCTCACAACCCCTTCCACTAATCTCACACCTTTTACCCCCTAAGCTCACAACCTCCTACTACCAATCTTACACCTCATCCCCACTAATTTCACTAACCCTTTTACACTAATCTTACATCTTTTACCACTAATCTTACATCTTTTACCACTAATCTTACATCTTTTACCACTAATCTTACAACCCTTACCACTAATCTCTTAAGCCCTTTCAACTACTCTCACACCCGCTACCTCTAATCTCACGTCTCATTCACTAATCTCACGTCAACTATACTACTAATCTCACATCATTTCCTCCTCTTCCTCTCTTCTCAGTATTATCACGTTCTTTCTGCCTCCACACTTAGCATTTTTTCTTGCTTATTACGTCCATTTCATTTACATTTCCTTTATTCTGTTCGCCTATGTTCTTCATCTTACATGTTCTTTGGTGTTCTTTCCACGTTGTTCCACTTTCTTTTTCCTCATCCGTGTTCTTCTTTCGTGTTCTTCCTCGTCCATGTTCTTCTTTCGTGTTCTTCCTCGTCCATGTTCTTCTTTCGTGTTCTTCAATGTTCTTCCTGCGTGTTCTTCTTTCGTGTTCTTCCATGTTCTTCGTTCTTCCTGTGTTATTTTATCATATTCTTCGAAGTTCTGCCATGATCATCATTCACGTTCTTACACGTTCTTTCATGTTCTTCATTATCATACTGTTTTGCATGAAAGAGACACTTGTTGAATTCTTTCACCCACCAGGGTCTTTATCAATTCAACGTTTCGCCCACCAGGGTCTTTATCAATTCAACGTTTCGCCCACCAGGGTCTTTATCAATTCAATGTTTAGTCCACCAGGGTCTTTATCAATTCAACGTTTCGCCCACCAGGGTCTTTATCAATTCAACGTTTCGTCCACCAGGGGCATTATCAATTCAGCGTTTCGCCCACCAGGGTCTTTATCAATTCACCGTTTCGCCCACCAGGATCTTTATCAATTCAACGTTTCGCCCACCAGGGTCTTTATCAATTCAACGTTTCGCCCACCAGGGTCTTTATCAATTCAACTTTTCGCCCGCAAGGGGCTTTATCGATTCAACGTTTCGCCCACCAGGGTCTTTGTCATTCAACGTTTCGCCTACCAGGGGCTTTGTCAATTCGACATTTCGAATACCCAGGGCTTCATCAGGCCTCTTCAGTCGAATACAAAGGCGACAAATCTTTTGGTCAGGAAGCAGCTGAGAGGTGACGATGGTCAGTCCCTCCAGCCTTGAAGAAAGGCTAGAAATTAATTTTCTTGTTTACCACGGGCGGGGTTAGAACCCGCGATCAGAGAGTCATAAAAGTCCGGACTGAATCTCCCTGGCGGGAAATTCGTCTGTAAAAACTCGCATTGGGGTATATACCTAGTTGGATGAATCTTATTGTAACCAGCTGGCCCAGTGGCTAGCGCGTCGGTCTGGAATTTTATGACTGACCGCGGGTTCTCTCCCCACCCGTAGTATGGTTTGTTTGCAGTCGTGTTATTGCGATTTCGTGAGCATATTTGATGTAAATGGATTAGAAAACCGACAAGTTGAAGACTGAAACACTTGTACGACATTTCGGAATATTCATTTCGGAATACTTCGCTAACCAGTGGCTTTCTCAGTTCATTACAGAGATGAACGGTGGAAGATCATGAGGAATTTGAGGTTATCAGTCCCTTAGCCTGGAGTCGATGTGTTCAGTCCAACAGTCTTGAGAATGATGGCCTGAACACATCGTCTCCAGGTTGAGGGACTGATTACCTCAAACTCCTTCTCCCTTTTCACCTTTAACTCGTAATCGACTGTGAAGGCCACTGTTCCCCAACTCGAAACACGTTTCCAGAGTATACCTCAAACTGACCGTTCCCTGAATTTCAGTATCAAACTGAAAAGTCCAGTGGGGATAGATTATAAATTCTCTTGTTCAGCACAATCTCTGTAAGGTGATAAAGCCACTGGGGCGAAACGTTTCGTTAATACATGTTTTTTCATTGTGTTAAAAGCTTATTCGATTAAATTATTATTTCTGTCAAACATAAGTATAGCCATCTTCAAACGTTTTATTTATCTCCGTTTGTGTTATCTTCCATTTTTTAATTTTTATCTTCATCCCTTTTCCTTTTTTCCTTGTTTCATTTTTTTCGGGTATGTAACTCGTCTTACATATTCTTTGTCTTTTATGTTCTTTATTATCCGTATTCTTCAACGTCCATGTTCTTTATTATCCGTATTCTTCAACGTCCATGTTCTTTATTATCCGTATTCTTCAACGTCCATGTTCTTTATTATCCGTATTCTTCAACGTCCATGTTCTTTATTATCCGTATTCTTCAACGTCCATGTTCTTTATTATCCGTATTCTTCAACGTCCATGTTCTTCACCATCCATGCTGTGAATAAAAGACTTAAAGACACAGTTTTATTAAACGACGTTTCGCTCAGTGTGAGGTTTATCAAGTTACATAGAGAACACGATACACCTTTCTTTTAATATCAAACAGTCAGGCACTGAGAGGAAGCCTGGGTCAGGTAACAGGAGAGGTGCAGGTGAGTTCTGAGTGGGCGGTGTGGTGAAGAGTTGGTGGGTGGTGAGGGTGTAAGAATGGGTGGTGGAATGAAAGTTGTTGGTGGAGGTGAAGGAAAATGAAGGTGAAAGTGATCTGAGGGTTTGCAAAGAAGGGATTCCAAGGTATATAATGTTCCAGCGATTTTGAAATGGTGAAGGTACCACGGTTTTGTTCGACGGTGTCTAAATCTTTGATGCACTTTCTCCTGTTCGTGTCACTCTCTCGGAGTATTAGCTGCTGCTTACCCAGTCCATATGTGATTAGCGATTCCCGTGGATTACACAAGCGTTGTTAACACTGTACACGCATATTTGTGTTCTTGGGTTTGTGTGTTGAGATCATTGGCCGTCTTACACACACGCTGTTTGTCACAGCCAGTACAAGAAACAGTGTATACTCTCTGTCATGCTCAACTGTTTGGGATATGTACATGGGTGATATCCTTAATATGATAGACGTACATGATGCAACCTCCATATAAGGCTGGCTTTTTATGAGAGCAGTACAGCCTTTAGACATTTAGCGACGTACTCGTTTGCTGACGACTCGGACTTACGACGGGCTCTCTGATCACTATGCTTACTTAAATAATGTATATTGGAGCTGATTTCCTCTTATAAGTTTATTACAATATACAGTAGACTACTGTATAAACATTCAAAATGTACCAGAAATGTTATAATTGATGAATGACACAGACCCACTACCATTATAGTATACTCCTCACTTAGCTACGAATTCATTTACCAGCATAGTCTTAGGGAAGGAACTCCGTCGTTAAGCGAGGAGAGCCTGTATTGTCACTGTGGATGAAAATTCATGAAAATTCTCTTGATTAAAAATAATCTGACTTTACGTTTACAAGATGCTATAATATGGAAGGGAAATTTCAAAGCTCTAAATCCTGTAAAGGCAGTACTCATCTACCATATACTCACGACT